CACTTGGTAGCCCAGGCTGGCCTCAAACTCACAGAGATCCGCCTGGCTCTGCCTCCCGAGTGCTGGGATTAAAGGCGTGCGCCACCACCGCCCGGCCTAGACCTGACTCTTATTAATTATAGAACTATGGACTTTGAGATGGTGATTCTAGTCTAGCCTTTGTATCAATCAAAAGATAATCTAGCCCAGGGAACATACGAAGAGGAGACTGGCAAGAACCATGTTGTAACTTAAGAAATGAAGAAGTTGTATATGAAATATTTTCATTAAATAGTACATGGAAAAATACAGTATGAGAAATAATTCAAAACAAAGCTCATTTCTCATACTTCAGTCTTTCTATGTACTATTTTGTGATCTTAAAGGAGTTCTCAATCGTCCTGTCCTAATGCTATGACACTTTAATACAGTTCTTCCCATTGTGGTGACCTCCAACCATATAATTATTTTTATTGTTACTTCATAACTGTAATTTTGTTACTGCTATGAATCGTAATGTAAATATCTGATATGCAGGCTATCTGATGTGTGATCCCTGTGAAAGGGGTCATGACCCACGTTGAGAACCACTGTCTTAAAGAAATAATGGGAAATTAATAAATAACAACAATTAGCAAATGTGAGTTTTACAACGATGTAAGAATACTCAGCAATAAGCCTAATATATTACTATTACTTGTTTCAGAAGCTATTTCGTGCATTTCAAAAGGTAACAGTCATGTGATATAAGTTAAAAAAGTAAAGTAGAAATTCAGAAAGATGCCCATTCTTTCTATCAATTTTATTATACATATACAACCAATGTCATTAGCTTAGGTGCTCTTCCTGATACTCTTCAAACATATGACCAAAATAAATCATATGCGTGTATATCTCGAAAGATGTTTACTTGTAAGTTACGCACATTTTACATGCATAGGTTTCCTTGTATGTTTGTACATGTTTATGCACCTTCATTTCTTCAACAGCTTTTGTTCTCAGAGAGAAATTAAGAAAAAGCCAATACTATTAATGTGTAAACAAGTTATAGTATACCAATCTAATAAAAATGTAATCAAAGGTATGGGGACATGGACTCACTTTGCTTAGAATATCAATTAACTAATTCTGGAGAGCAATTAGAAATTTTCCATTAAATTAAAAGGTATAGTAATACATGGCAATGGTCTAACAAAACACTTGAAAGAAACAAAAAGGAAGCAAAGGAATAATTTCACAAGTTAAACAGTTTTTGTTACTCTAGAAAAATTATACCTACTATAGGAAACTGCAAAAAGATCAGTAGCTCTTTGGACCACATTAAATAATAAATAAGTCTTAATATTTACATAATTACATGTGCATATGTATAAATTATTTTCAAAAACATATATTAATAGTTGAACTCCATTAACATGCTAACATTTGAATTTCTTTCTTTTTTCTTTCTTTTTTTTTTTTTTTAACACCAAGTAGGTTAAGATCTCAGGCTCTGCTATAGACAATCTAATTTCTGGCTGTCATAATTATGTAACCTTGGGCAATTAACATTTTTTTCAATCTGCTTAATAAGTACCTTATGATGATGCTCTGGGATCTATTATATGAGGCCAATATCATCAACAAAACCAGGGTTGTATATCAAACTATACTGGTACACAGCCATGCTCCTGGGCTTTTATATACAGATGGCTGCATTCACACTAATAAGTTGTAAAAGGTGTTATATGCTTTATAAAGACAATTTACCTACTCTAACCCCTCCTCCCATTTTTTTTCTGAAACAGTCTCTTGTGCCCAAGGCAGACCTCCAATTTAGATATAGTCAAGGATATCCTTGAACTCCTCCTAATCTTCCTGCCTCCACCTCCCAAGTGGTAGGACTATGGATGTGCACCATCATGTCAGGCTCAATTTCTAAACTTTACCAGGAAGAGTTGGCCAGTATCTGATACATAGCATGTATGCTACTAAGCCTTTAATAGTAGCATCTAAGACACTACTAATACAGGGCTGAGGATGTAATTCTCAGTGGCAACATGCTGTGCTTAGTATGTAAGGGGCCTCAGTTCAAAGAAATGGAAAGGAAAGGAGTTATACCAACATAATTATCAAACACACACAAAACTTGCCTATTATACAACAAGTAACTTACCTGCACCATAGCAACGAGATCCTGGAGCTGTTTAAGTTTCTCTTTTGCAGCCATGAGTCTACTAATCTTCTGTTCAAATTCTTCATCTTCTGGTGCCTCATCAACCAGACTGCTCCTATGACTAGATAAAGAAGCGCCACTGGCTCCTTCCTCTTCTACTTCTTCCTCCTCCTCATCTTCACCCCGTGCTACATGTAACCGCTGTTCTTCTCTATTGTAGCGACAGTCTGTTAAAACGAGTATCATTCAAGTAATTGATTTTAAAGCATTAAGAAGACAAATCAAAGATAATCTACTTCACAAGAGTAATATGGCAAAATGTCTGCGAATACAGGAAACCATACCTAATGGAGGCATGTTCAGAGCTCTGATGTTGGCAGCAGACCTGTTGTTAATTTCACAGTTAGAATTAACTGATCGCCCGTCTCTATTATTAGAAACACACTGTGTATTACTGTTTCTATTCACTTCATTCCAAGTAGAAGCTACCTGTGGATTTCTGAAAGAAATTAAAGCCAAGTTATTTAAAACAACAAAAAAATTTTAAAAGTCTACCTACTTAGAGCTATAAAAGTAGTTTCAAGCTAAGAACAGCACTACCTAAACCATTTAAGCTCAAATTCTTAATAACAGACTCCTGCTTTTCATTATCCATAAACTTAGAAGTTTATGAAGAAAAGCATCTGAAAACTCAAAATATACCTAAAGTAGAGTGGTAGGAAAAGAAAATGCTAAATTTTATACTTAAATTTACTTGCATTCAGTAACAAACAGCAATTTTACTAAATTATTGCCTTCGGTATTTTCTTCTTTTTCTTTACAAGGCAAGGATGATAAGTACACTAACAGTTAACTTAAAGGAAAAAGCCTAATAAGAAGCTAACAATGAATACTTCACTGATGTATTACTCCATCCCAGCCCCCACAAAGCATCATGTTCAGATGAATACATTAGGAAAAAGAAACTTAAATCTGTCACCTAATGTTAGTAACAGGTTCAGAATTTTCATGCTCAGAATCATATTCTGACTCCTCAGTTTCTTCATCTTTTGTATTTTCATTTACAGCATCTGTCATCATATCTGATGTTTGTTCATAATAATGAACTAATTCTCTCAATTCATTCAATCTCTTTTGAACTTCATTTAACTTCCTGATTAAAAAAAAATGTAACACCATTTTAGAAGAAAAAAAAAAGCACGTTATTTTCACTTAATAGCAGTTGGTACATATGCAGGAAAACACACACACACACACACACACACACACACACACACACACACACAAATTTAGATCAAATTAAGTATTCAGGGCATCTGTCAACTTTAAAAAATACAGTTTCAGCTGAACATGTTGGCACATGCCTTTCATTCTAATACTCAAAAGTAGGAGGCCAGCCTGGTCCACAGAGTGAGTTCCAAGCCAGTAAAGGCTGGCTATATAGTGAGACCCCGTACAAAACAGACAATCACTCAAAACCCCCACAGCACGGACTGAAATGTCTTACACATCATCCCTGGTTTGCAGGGGAAGCAGCAGAGGCTTTCTAAGTGTTCTGCTCACACTGATACAGTCTTGTATAATAACATCATTTCAGGGCTATGAGTCTAGAGCCCAGGCCTTAGTGTTTGAATATTTAAACATTTTATAGACAGTTCTTGCTATTTCTAACCCTTTCTCTGAAAAATAATCAACTAATAGCAGTTTACAGAAACTACCTACACAATGTCTTATTCTTTTAGCCAACTGATAAGATTAATATATATTACATCCCCTCCTTTCTTCATATATTTTAAGAACGTTTATCTTATTAACTTCAGTTTCTTACAAATTTTTAATAGTTTAAGAAAATCCTCAGCCGTATGGTGGTGGCGCACGCCTTTAATCCCAGCACTCGGGAGGCAGAGGCAGGCGGATCTCTGTGAGTTTGAGCTCAGGATAAGCTCCAAAGCCAAACAGAGAAATCTTGTCTCAGAAAAACCTAAAAAGAAAATCCTCATTATTTAATTCTAATTATTTAATAGATGTGAAGAATGATTGCATAAAGTATTTTACTGTAGTTTTTCAGCTGGATTTAGAAGAGCTTCATTTTCACTCTCGTTCTGAGAAACTAGAGAAGTGGCAGGACAAGGAACAGATGACGTAAGGCTATTGGCCTCTCCGTTGACAACCGGTGCAAAGCCTGCAGGAGCAGAGAGCGCTGCCGCTGGACTTCTCTTATCCCCACTTCTTTGGAGAGAAGTTGAAGGCACGACTGAAAGAGAGAGAGAAAAGATACACCATTACCATAAGTAAACGTGTATGAAGCAGCATATATTTACAGTTTGGATAGTTATAAACAAACAAAATAAAATTCATTAGCATCTTAAAATCTGCAGATTTAAATCCTGAGAGCATATATATTAAGTACACAGGCTACTTATTAACACAGTTCACAACTAAATACTTCAAAATACACAAGGAAAAATATTTTTACTTCTTCCTTCTAGACAATCTAGCACTTTTTGCATTACAGCCACTGGGTTAAAATAGAAGAAAGGGAGAAAATAAGACAAAAATTGGAAAGAATTACAATGCTATATGCTAGAAAAGCCACCAAAAGAACAATAGGATAAACTTGTCTTGGGTTAGGTTAAACAGGGTCACTATGTATGATGAATAGAACACAAAAGGCCAATCCTAGCAAGTAATGAGTAAAGACTACTTATTTGTCTACCTCCTACTACTTCAAAACTATGGTCATTCATCTTTTTCCCAATGTGACCATCATTGTTTCCTTCTCATTTTAATGCCACAATTATCATGGCTAGTTCCCACTGGTCTCTTTTCCACTCTTCTTTCTTTATCCAGTCTCCCTTTAACTACTGCTCTTACACTCTCTTCTAGGAGGAGGAGGAGCCTTCCGTCAGCTGTCAGTCAGCAAAGTAGGCCTTTCTTGGCATATAAAACTGACACAAAGACATAAACACACCTTTCCTCTGTTCAGAAAAGGTAGTAACTGATATTATCCTCTACAGAAAGAGGAAGGTAGCTGAGATCAAGAGGTGGAAATGAGTGTTTCAGGGCAGAATAGTAACGTTTCTTTGAAAGTGGCAGAGAACCAGGATATATGTGAAGAATAAAGAACAATTCTTCCAAGCTGGATGTGGCAATGCAAACTTAGAATCCCAGCCCTTGGGGAGACCCAGGCAAGAATGCTGCAAATTTGAAGTAAGCCTAAGTTCCACGGTCAAATCCTTTCTCAAAACACAAAAAAATAATAAAAGAGAACATCTGATTCTATTATTTTGAATGACTTATTTATTTCTATTTTATTATTTATTTTTATTCTGCATCACACACATGCAGGTACGCATAAAAACCAGATAGCATTGAATCCCCTGGCACTGGAGTGACAGGCAATTGTGAGCTGCCTAATGTGGGTCCTGGGAACCAAAGCTGGGTTCTCTGCAAAAGCAGTTAGTGCTTTTAGCTACTGAGTCATCTTTGCAGCCTAAGGATGGGATTCTAAAAATGGTGTTCTTATCCACTATCATTTCTTATTCAGACAAAAACTGAAATGTTACAATAATAATGGCCAGCTGGAGTTACCCAGAAGATTTCAATTTCCTGCACTTGAGCTCCTATTACCAATGGACAGGGACTAAGATTGAGAAAAACCTTTAGTAAAATAATAAAGACTAGAGACTAGATATGAATTATACCAATTTCATGTCTTTTTAAATGAACAGACTTAACATCTATTTGGTTCTTACCACATATTGGCTTATTAAGACCTTTTCATATTCAAGTTTCTTCCTCAAAAATTATAATTTTTTTGTGGAACTCTATTTATTAACTTATCAAATAGTTACTAAGAAACTGCACTGTGCTAGCATATATACTTACATGCCCTTTACATAACACTGCTGAATCAGATTTACTCACACGATGAATTGTTCAGATGCTGGTCTCGAAGGGTATGGAGTTCTCCAAGTAATTTGTCCATTTTCTGTTTCTTTTCCTGTAGTACTCTCATTTTGCTAAAAAGATGGACTTTCTCATCAGGTAAATGATCAGAAACTGGGGGATTTCTGCTCTGAGAAATCTCTCTAGTTAATGAAAGGCTTTCTGCCTGTCTTCTGTTGTCTGGAACAGTGGGAGGCTTAGTTTAAAAAAGAAAGAGCAAAAAGGAAAGGATCATTTAAGATGAAGACAATTAAAGGTTGCATTTTACAGTAGGGTGACATTTATTTTGTTTCCTATTTGCTATTAACACGATGCTTCCATTAACAATTTTATCCCTATCTCCTGTGAGTATCTGAGAGCTTCCTTACGTAGGGTATGACAGGGTTCATTACAAAAATTTACTAATTTTTGCTAGATAACTGCCCAAAATGGCTGACCACACTCATTTCCTTAGTAGGCAAGACAAGAGTCACTGCATCTTTAATCACACATCCCTTCCCAGTCTGAAGGCAATGGTTCACTAATCCTTATCCAAATCCCACACTAAAAATTCACACATGCACCATTATTTTACAAAATTCATAAAACTGAAATACTTAATAATTCTAAAATTGCTCTTGGTAGATATGGGAGCACAAGCCTATAATCCTAGTGCTTTAAGAGGCTAACACATAAATATGGAAAATTTGAGGTCAGCTTGTCTTGCTTCAATACCAAATCAAAGGAAAATACTACCCTTCCCTAAAAACCTTTCTTAAAAACTGTCAATAAGGCCAGGCGGTGGTGGTGCATGCCTTTAATACCAGCACTTGGAAGGCAGAGGCAGGCGGATCTTGAGTGAGTTCCAGGCCAGTGAGCTCCAGGAAAGGCGCAAAGCTACACAGAGAAACCCTATCTCAGAAAACTTCTAAAAAAAAAAGCTGTCAAGATAAAATAATGCAAGGACAGACTTAAAACTAATTTTAAGTCTCTTTGTTTGTTTTTGGTTTTTGGTTTTCTTGAGGCAGGGTCTCCGGTAGCCCTGGCTGTCCTGGAACTCACTAAGTAGACTAGGCTGGTCTTGAATTCACAAAGATCCACCTACCTTTGCCTCCCACTGTGGGGATTAAAGCACACACCACTATAACTGGCCTAAGTTTAAATCTTAAAGGTTATGACCATCTAGTGCTTAAAAGAGGTAAAAAGAATGTTTATCTAACCGTCAACACAAGGAAAACCTCACTACTCAGCACATTAAAAGTAGCCTTTCTGGGTGTGGAGACATGGCTCATCGGTTAAGAGCACTCGCTGCTTTGGCAGAAGACCCAGGTTCTGTCCTAGCATGCACACTGGACAGCTCATAACTGCCTGTAACTCCAATTCCAGGTGATCTGACGCCCTCTTCTGGTCTCTGTATGCATAGGATACATATATATATTCAGGTACACAGATACAAATAAAAAAGTAATAATAATAAATCTTAACATAGTAGATTCTCCTCTAACCTAGAGTTTCTCAAAGGCGAGTATCAAGAATAGCAATGGGATCATATGGGGCCTAATCAAATCTTAAGAATCATAATTTTGGAGGTTGAGGGACTTTGTATATCCACTTTTAAAAACTCAAGCCAGATGATATCTATGTTCGCTAAGGTTTGAGACCCACTGGTTAATTAATGTGATTCATAAACTTAACTACATAAACCAATTACCTGAGAATCACGAAGCTGATTATGGAAACGCTGGATTAAATCATTCAGTTCTTCATTTAGTTCAGATGTGATGCTGACTCCAGATAAGCTTCCTGTAGTTTCTGTAACAACTGAAAACAAAATTAAATACTATATTCAATATAAAGAAGCATCAAAGGGAGCTCAACCTAACATAATTTGAAACTTTTCAATATATATTAGAAGTTCATATCTGACCTAAAAATAAAGGGACAACTACTAACCTCTAGGAAAGTGACTTGTGTTTTTTAATCTCAACAGACTGTATTCCCAATTAATAAATGTGACTTGTTAGGATAGAGCTAGGATGACTCCATTAGTTTCTTAAGATAGAAGGTACAGTGGGCAAATTAGATCCTGGAAAAAAACAGCTGACTCTGACAGGTCTCTATCTCCACCTCTTCAAGAAAACCAAAACTATATTACAGAAATGGGCAAGTTTTTCTACAAAGTACAGACTGAAAATTAGCATGGCTCTGTGGAATACAGTTCTCGTCTTGTCTACCCATTTCTGCCATTGAAGTGCAAAAAGCAGCAACATGTGGAAAAAAATGGCAGTGTTTCATAAAACCACGTCAATTACAATAAAAGATCACAGATTTTATCATCTTCATTAAAAATAAAACTCCCTCACCCTCCTAACGCATGTTTCTGAAGACAATTTTGACAACACTTACTGCTTTACTACCCAGTACCCCATCTTGATTCTCTTTTAACTTTCCAATTTTATAAGAAGTCACAGGCTACAAACTGCTTAAAAAAAAAAAAAAAGAAAAGAAAGATCGAAAAGAAAATACCACCATTTCCTGCTGGAAAACAAAACAAAACAAATCCCTAGCATTTGAAGCATTTGAGGACTGAGAGAAATCCTTTTCTAGTCTAAACTTTCCTTGGAGAACACCAGAATTACAATCCAGATAACTAATGAACAACTTGCTAGACAGGAAGAAAAGCACTTTTCCCCAAGGCAGGTGTGTTGTGTTTCTGAACAGATGAGATACTAACCCTTGCTTACATCAGTTTTCTTGAGCAAAACTTCATAAGTACAGTAGCAGAATTGTTCTAAAATTATTAAGCCAAAATTCTTGTTGAAGAAGTACATAAAGTTCAAATTCAATCTTTTAGTTAGCCTTTTATTGCAATTCATGATAGTGTATTTTTGTAAAAGAAACTATTTGCATATTTTAACCTAAATTTGATGGATTTCTATTCAAATTCTGTATAAAGCCTAACCAAGCCAGAAACACTATTTGTCGTCCTTCTCTATGAAGCCTTAAGCAGTAGCCTACAATAACGGTGATCCAATGAGGTGATGAAGCTTCAAGTATTCAAGACTATAGAAAGGCCACTGGGAACTTCAGGAGCCCCACTGCTCCATGAGGTTCACAGGCCGTCAGTGGGCAGGAGAGACTGCTGTGCAGGAGGGCAGCCCCTGGTTAGCTGTCCATTATCCTGTAGGTGAGTCCTCACCTGTGCACTCCCACTCCTGTAAGCAGCCCTTAGGAACCTTATGTCACCAACACAGCAAGATAAAATGCCTAATCACAGTGCTCAAAGACAAATCAACTAGAAGAACTGATGAGAAAGCAACTCGGCCAACCTAAGAGGTTATTTTATCTATCGCTTTGTGCCCCAAAACATATATATATATATATACAATTGTTATTTGTCAGCTAAAAATAAAGCTAAAAAGAAACCTTAGCTTTACTGAGTTTTAACAAGAAACAATCTTACTTTTTATCCTAATGAAAACTTAAAACAGGTTTGAAGACAGTAAGAAAAACTACAAAATTTAAAAAAAACCTCAATATTAAACAATTCAATTGTCACTTAAATGATACACAGCTCTGAAGAAAAGGGGGAAAAAGAACATTTCTGAGTCTCACAAAACTGAGTCAAGTATAACAGCAGTTTAAAAGCTCATATATAAAACTGGGTATCTAACTGAAATAACAGAACTACTAACACTGATTACTAAATATGCTCTATTAATTTACTACCTTATTAGACTTCTTGTCTTTTTTTTATATTCTCTGGGTGCTAAAGACTGAACCCAGGGCAGACTTAACCATGCAAACCTGCAGCCCTCTCCACTTTCGTATTTTACGAGACAGAGTCCCACCATGAAGTACTGGGGGAGGGAATCTGTGTACACATCTGTGTACCTAAGAGGTCGATGTTGGGTATCTTCCGTAGTCACGCTCCATCTTCTTGAGACAAGATTACTCACTGAAGCCAACGCTCATCAACTGGCTAGACTACTGAATCCCAGGGACCCCTGTCTCTGTCCCTTCTAGTGTTGGGGCCACAGATGTGTACCACTGCACTTGGCTTTTCAATGGTTGATCTACACTGAGGTCCTCATGCTTGTGGGACATGCACTTTACCAACTGAGCTATCTCCCCAGACCCTAAGAATACTTGATCTTCCTGCCTCAGCCTTCTGAGTGTGGGGATTACAGGTGTTATGCTACCATGCCTGGTTGACTTAAGATTTTTTTTTAAACCTTCCTTGTAAGGCAAATAAAGAACAATCTTAGCTGAGTAAGATCAAACAAACACAAACAAACAGTAACCCCCCCAAATGGAAACAAAAGCATCAAGAGCCCTATCACTCTGAGGTGAAAAAACAGTACTACATACAGGCCTGTCTCTTTTACCTCTTAAAGGTACTCTCTGATGAAAAGGAGAGCGAGCTGTCTGTCTGCACGGTACAGTATGATAGCCAGGAGTTGTTCCTGCAACCTTTTCTGTATAACCAGAGAAAAGCACAGGACAGAGTAAGCCTTGCTTGCAGGTTGCTACACTAGTCAACAACGGAGATCTGATTACACAATAACAGCATTCACTTTGCAATATAGCGAGTCAATGATCCTTCCTTATAAAAGCACACTCTAAGACTGCCACCTACCAGAATCGTCCATCACAGCTATCGCCTGCTCTGCTTTATGCTGCAAAGCTAGAAGGGCGGCCTGCCGTCCCTGCAGAGCTCGCAGCTGCTCCTGCTGTTGTAGCATTCTTTTTAATAGATCATGTTGTTTCTTCAAGTTTTCTGTCTCTTCCATGGGCTCCTGCTGATGATCTCTGGCCTGGAAAAAAAGACCAACAATACTTATTTCTGACTGTTGAAATCCATGCTCCTGTTTCATGTGCCAGTGGCAAAGTACAGCAAAGACAATAGTTTTGATTAAATACACAACTCTAGATAGTTTTAAAGGCCTAGAAAACAGATATGTCCCACATTAAGAATTAGGGAATTTCAAAGCAAAAAAACTATGACAAGGAGATAAAAGAAAAAAAAAACCTACAAAACAGAAGGTTGAAAGTCTATGAAGGCATAGGGAGCTGCACATATTGCAAACAAAAGAATAGGGGAGCCAATTACAGGCTATACAGAGTTAACGCTCCAAAAGATTATTTTCTAAAAAAACTAGGTAACCAAACTTTCTACCCCATTCTAGAAGATGATTTTGAACATATACAACAAAAGCAAATGAGAATGTGTGTGTGTGTGTGTGTGTGTGTGTGTGTGTGTGTGTGTGTGTGTGTGAGAGAGAGAGAGAGAGAGAGACAGACAGACAGACAGAGACAGAGACGATGACAGAAAGAGAGAACACACCAACTTCTAACCAAGGTTGAGATTTTTTAAATATATTTGTTGATTATCTTATCTAAAAGGGCCTAGCTGAAACACATCAAGTGCATAACAAAGCAGAAAACTTTATTTTGTATCAGATATCTTTATTAGTTTTTTGACTTATGTCTATTCAGCTGAGTTTGGAATATAAGACACAAAGAAAATACTTCCAAACTTCCCCAATACACTGAGAACTTATCATCCCCAAACTTCCCCAATACACTGAGAACTTATCATCCCCTCTAGGTGCAACGTAACAGATTGAAACAGGGACTACTTCGAAGAAACTACCAATGGAACTGAAGAGATGGCTCAGCAGTTACATGCACTTGTAGCTCTTGCAGAGGACCCAGGTTCAGTTCCCAGCACTCACATAGAGGCTCACAACTGTCTTAATTCCAGTTCCAAGGGATCTAACACCCTCTCTGACCTTTATGGGCATCAGACATGCAGAGGATGCACACACACACATGCAGTCTAAACACTTATTCACATAAAATAAGTCAACCTTTTAAAAGAAAAAAATTTAAAAAAGAAGTAATGACTAAGTGGGCTGCTGGTATGACTGAATGATAAAGCTCTTGCTTAGCCATGCATAAGGGCCCTTGTGTGTATAAAAAACAAAAAAACACCTCATGCATATACAAAATTAAAATTTAAAACACAACTGAATAAAACTAATCAAGACAGAAATGTAAACACAGCCCCCCAAACAATAAAATTTAAGCCCAATTATATATGAAATGTATATTGTAATGGCACACATCAATGATTTACCATCAAAATATTTGAAAGTTCTGTTATGTTAATCCATTGACATAAAATATTCCCTTTACTGTATTGATTTGGTTTTAAATTTACCACACTAACAAATTTTTGTTGGGATTATAAAATTTTAAATGATTTCTCCCCCAAAAATTACTAAAGCGATTCAATGATTTCTTTTGAAAGTAAAAATAAACCCACTGATCTACTTTCCCTGGTCCCATGTGATTTCTAGAGAAACCACAGGGAACACAGACAGTTTGAGAAGTTTCCTTCTAGATGACATCCTTCACCAGTGCTACATAAAGCCTCTTCCATCTACCTCCTCTCAAGTAGAACTAGCAATATTGTAACTAAGAATGGGTAACCAAGACAACATTTTACATTGTGACTTAGAAAAGAAAAAAAAATAGAGAACAAAAAAGCATATAGCCTACAGTTAAGTACTCAGAGCAAGTTAAGATAAAATTTGAAGTTTAGTGGAAGTTGACTACTGCTATTAACACTGACATACATATAATTTACATTTCAGATTGGTATTTATAATCAATTATGAAAAAAGTTGAGAAAATGGGTGTGGTGTCACACCTTTACTCTTAGTATTTGAGAGGCAGAGGCAGGTACATCTCTGTGAGTTCAAGGCCAGTGTAGTCTACATAGTTATTCCATCCTAGTCAAGGCTACACAATAAGACTGTCTTTTAAAAAAAAAAAGGAGGAGGAAGAAGGGGGAAACAAAGTGATTGCTTGCCTTATAAACACAAGAACTTGAATTGGATCCTAAGAACCTGTATTTTTTAAAAAAGGCAGTCCCTACATGTAAACCCATCTCTTGGAAGGTGGAGATGAGCAGATTCCTGGAACTCACTGGACAACTGCACTAGCCTACTCTGTCCAGTTATAGGCCAGTGAGAGATGCTGTCTCAAAAAAATGGTGAGAAAGTACCTGAGGATTGATAAAGCATGGATGTACATGAAGGACTTCTTTGTTACATAATACAAAATGTTATGTCTATAAAACTTAGAATCAGCCTTTGTAGATGGATATGGCTAGAATATCTATTATTTCCTATCAATCTGTAACTCAAAGGTTGTTTTCAGCTCTGAATCTAAGATAAGACCTCAAACCTTTTCCTCTATTCTTCAAACACAATACATTTCAAAAGGTTTCTTAGGAGGGAAGAAGCAGAACGGATATGGAGAGTGACAGATTCTGTAAGCAGAGAAAAATTTAAGTCAGGTGGTAGGAATTAAGATTTGAATTACAGTCATTTTATGAATTATGTACTAGTAAACTACATTGTGATGACCTTAAGAATCAAGACTACGGTTGGCAGGATGGCTCAGTGGATTAGAGCCTGTCACACTGCTAAGCATTAAACCTCATGGCCTGAGTCAATCCTTAGGCCCACAAAATATCGGGAAAGCATACAGGTTGTCCTTTGACCTCCACACACATGTCCAACATAGGCATACACACACAAAATAAAAATTAAAAAAAAAAAAAAAAGAATAAGGATAGTTGAAATGTAACAAATCCCTGAGCGAGTTTAAGATAGAATAATTCTCATCTATAAGAATACTTGCCATGGGGCTTTTTTTTTTTTTTTTTTTAAAGTAAATGTAACACCACAGGGGAAAAGGAGACTTGGCCAATGTGCCACAGTGCCTGTCAATTGTATAAAGAAAGAAGACAAGTTTTAAAGGACACCCGCTGTAGCTCACATTCATCTTCTCCCCTTCAATGCTATTAGGTCTAAAGATAACCAATTACTTTTCTGCTCAGAAGGGAGTACTCTTAGCTTAATGCTTTGTGTAATAAAAGACACCCCCGCCCCCCCAAAAAAAACATGAAAAAGCACAAACTGCCAAAATATTTGAAGTTTTGTCATTTTAAACACCAAAGAAAGAAAATATAACTACAAAAGAAAGATTGATCATTGATAACAAGCTAGTAATAAAACTTACAAAGTTATTCTTATGCACCCTATAATATTAAAATGGTATTTTGCTCTAGCTAAAAGGACACACATGCTTTTACAAATGCTACTTTACTTGAAAGTATTAGAAGAGCTATACAAACAGTTTTCTTCACTTATCCTGCTTGTCTTTGTACAAATCATGGGAAATCTAGCAGAACATTAAAATATCAATGAGCAAATCAACTAACTAAACCTTTTTTTCTGAGAGGGAGAAAGAGAAGAAACGGTTTTAAACAGTACACAAATACAAGCCAAAATCACGAAAAAAGCATTTCTTCCTTTAAGGACAGAAAAATCTAACAGCGTGTACTATCTTCTTTTTCTCCAATGAACTACTATAATAACAAGACAAAAATTTAAAGTATCATTCTAATTCATAACACTACTATTATGAACAAAAACAATCATTGGCCAAGGTTTAAGAAATTCTGTTTTTATATACTCTGAACCTTCAATAGCAAAAAGAACAAATTATGATTCTAATCCTTTATAATTGTAAATCAAAGTCAGCTATCATATTTTATCCATGCAGATATATATTCTAAAGCAAAAAAATAAAAGAAATAAGAACACTTAGCAACAGCATTTGACTAAAGCAAATTACAGTCTATTAACGATGTTAATAAAGTATAGAGTTCAGAGGAACAGCAGTTAACAGAAGAAGCAGACCAGGAAGAAGCAGAAATGAGAGCTGCCCATTTAAAGACGTCCCGAGTTAACATTGTGAAGTATACCTTTGAGGGCAATCCACGTTTTCGGCTACATTTCCTATTAGGTCTCTGTTCCCTGTCATTCTGAGGAGCTCTGTCACCTTTCCCTTTTGGACTTGTAGTAACGTCAATGTCTGAAACCTGTTCTTGTGAAGCTGAATTCCCTAGTTTGTCCTCAATGCAGGGCCGAATTCTCAGACTAAAAGATGCCTCCTTTATTAAATAGTGTAGCATATTAATTTCTTAACACAAACTCCTGTTTAACATATAAGCCAGCCTTGTAAATAAATACAAAAATGTCTCATTCCACTTTTTAAAAAATTTAACCCAAATCCACCCCCAAGAGGCAATAAATTTAATTATACTTTTAAGTTTCTATAAAATAAACAGTTGCATTACATCTGTGACAAGTTCCAAGAATGCAAAACTGCTAAAACATTATTTTAACATTTATTCTGGTACATAATAATTTACAAAAGGCCATGATTTTACATAATTATGAAGAAAATCTCATCACAGTCAACACTTTGAATTTGAGAATCTAAATTACAATCAACTATACCATTTCCCATACCTCTCCAATAAAATCCTTTAACCAGTCTGCCCCAACCCTTCTGCTTCTGCTGGTACGTAAGGGAGAAATTATTCCCAGCACCACTATGAACAAAAAACAATTTCCCACAGCAGAATCCATTTTTCAACAACTGTTTGGATTAAGACCCCTGAACATTTCCTAAATACAAAGAAAAAAAGTTCAAGTTTCCTATTTTTAAAAAGTTTAAACAGAAAGGATAGGGAGGAGAAAAGAAGTAGGTAAATTTTGCTGAGCAATAATAAAAGGAAACAAACCCTCAAATTCCTAATGCTGAATGGTATTTTGAAATATATTACAAAAATCAAAGACATGGGTGCTTATCCTTTCCAAAGAAAAGGCGTACTAGCACTAGGTTTTAACAGTTCCAAGTACATGACTACAGTGTTTTCCATAGTGCAATGGATATCACCTGTACTTCAGACAGTGCATGATTACAGGCACATCTGTTCAAACAAAAATGCTTAAAAGCAAATCAGTTCTGAAATGCACTACATTCTATGAACTAAATCCATCTTACAACCTTTACACAGAGAGTAAATAGTGTCAGTATTATCCTGTCTTCTTTATTAGCCTTTATTTCAACTTTCTATACATCTAGCTTTGCTATAGTACTACAGTATGAGAAATAAAAAAAAATCTTAGCACATTTAAAATGAGTTCTCATCAGCAAATGAATGTGGAAACTTCTCCAGCTTAACAGGCTTAATAATCCTGAGTATCTCTAGTGATATTAACAGCTCGTATACCTACAATGAATTCTAACTTTGCCAATGCTTCTTAAAATTAGGAAAGCTGTACTGGGCAAAACTGACTACACAGACATTTCTGTACACTGAAATTCAGAAATAACTAGATTTCCAATTCAAACTTTTAAAACTACTTTTAATGTTACTAATATAGCTTTCAACTTCCATATTTAAAAACTATATATAACATTAACAATTTGAGGGTTTCTTTCCTAGAATATATTTTCTATTAAAGAATGCCAGAAACTGTCATCTTGAAAAATGGAGGAAACCCTTACATCTTCATTTCCAGCACTTTAATTACCAAAAAGCCGCTTACCGTGGTATCTGAAGCCTCAGACTGCACATCTATGTTTAGCGATGTGCTCTCAGCTACAGAACCAGATCCCACAGCTGAGTCTATAGTCCGAACATCCTCCTCCTCATTTTCTCTAGCCTGAAATATTTTAGTGGTATAAATCATACAACTATTAAAAAGGGCAATAAAAATGTTATAATGGATGGCACGATTTTTGAAAATATGTTAACTCCTCTGGAGTGGCAACATAATGTCATCAATATTTGTATATTGTACATTATAAAAAATAACATATACATCACTTAAAAAGTCCAAAACTTACAAGGATTTTCTGGAGAAATTTCATATATGACTTTTCTTGTTCTTTAAGGTGCTCTATTAGATGAGTAAGGCGCTCAACATTAGCAGATCTTTCATTTTTCTCTACAAGATCTTCTCTCATAGAACTAGCTTTAGTAATATAGTCACGAATTTGAACAAGCCTGCTAACAATCTGCAGGGAAAATATTAAAAAGGAAAATAAGGATGACAGTATACAACATATAAAACTAAGCCTAATTAATTTCATAGCAACAGCATCATACATATGTATTTCAAATGAAGGAGGATCAAAGATATATCTAGGTTTACCATATAGATTTATACATGCAAGAAAATTTGAATCAAGCAGATTTTTAAAATTAAAACAATGGTCAATAAATTTCAATCACCATCAATTTAAAAGTAATCTCAAAATTATTTTAGTTTATATTATCTGAAAAATGGTATCTATTTTAAAATTTCATTTATTATTATTGTAGAGAGATTCTGTTTGCTTTTTTATGTCTGTGTAGTTGAGTGCCATGGTGTATGTGTGGAGGTCAGAGGACAACTTCCATGGAGTTAAGTGTTCTATTTTATGTGGGCTCCAGGTACTAAATCCTCAGGCCTGCAGATGTAGACAGCAGACGAAGCCCCAAGTTAGTGAAGTCCTAAGTGAATATGGACAGAATGGCACAGCCATGCAGAGAACGCCAACATCTCAGACCCATGAAACACTGGCACACTCTCCCCAGGAGCCCAAAGGATGAGAGTGTATGAACAACAGACCAGTGTGTTCAAAGACTAGCAACTGCGGCTTCTTTACCCAATAGTTACAGCCTGAGCCTGCTCACTTACAGAAGCCTCCTATCTAGTTAACAACTAGTTAACAAGACTAGTTAACATCCCGCACTCTGTGCTGTACCTAATAAACACACACTGAGGTTCCAGGTCTCAGCAGCAGCAGAAACCCTCATTCTACTTTACTCTCCGTGGGTCTGTCCTTTCTTCATTCCCTCGCCACGCCAGTCAGGGCTCCCAGCCTCAAAAAGTGCAGGTTGTCCCACTAAGCCAACTCTCCAGGCCCAAAACTTTTATTTGTAAAACAAACTGCTGAGAAATTATTTATATTTTCCATGGGGGGGGGCACATCTGCACATAATATATGTATGTGCACATATGTCAGGGGCACATGTAGAGAGCAGAAGGTAAGTCTGTGGTACCTACCGGGTCTCTCCTCCCACCTCTACATGGGTTCCATGGATCACATTCAGGTTGCCAAGCTTTCACAGCAACCACTTTGATCCTGCACCATCTCACCGACTAAATATTCCATCTAATACTTACATTTCTTTATAAGTAATTGGTAGCATTATAAAAATAAAATGTTAAAGTAGAATTTTTGAAAGTATTTTCCAAAAATATCAGCATCGTGTTTTATTCTTTTTTTCATGATTTACTTTATTTTTAATTGGGTACGTTTGTGTAGGCAGGTGCATGTGAGTACAGGAGCCTCTGAAGACCAGATGCATCTGATCTTCCTGGAGCTGGAGTTTCAGGGGTTGTGAACCAATGTGTCCAGTGTGTATGCTGGGAACCAAATGTGGGTCTTCCACAAGAGCAATATGTGCCCTTAATCACTGAGCATCTCTCCAGCCCCAATAGCCACATTTGAATAAAATTCAAAAAAAAAAAAAAAAAAAGAAAAGAAAAGAAAAAAAACCAAATTGCCATGTGGTGGTGGGCGCACTCCTTTAATCTCAGTACTCAGGAGGCAGAGGCAAGTGGATCTCTTTGAGTTTGAGGACAGCCTGGTCTACAGAGTGAGGTCCAGGACAGCCAAGGCTACACAGAGAAAACCTGTCTCAAAAAAAAAAAAAAAAGAAAAGAAAAGAAAAAAAAAAACCCTAATCACACTGATTCCAACCCTGTTTTATTAAAAATTAGCAACTTAGTATTTTGCAATTAGAGAAGCTTTAATGAACATAAATATGTAATTTCCCAATCATTTAAGGAATAAAATATTATTCTATTTCAAATATATGGTACATTATTGAAGAGGGTTAGAGGAAAACCTAATTCCACCGAACTGAACTTCATACATGCACAGCCTAATACTTTCGGAACATCTTAATGTGTATGTACACTGTACATCTGCAAACCACCACCCAAACAATCCCATTTTATGACCTGGCTGCTCTCCATTGCAGGTTCGCCTCGCCCATCTTCTTCAGAGACTTGACAGTTCTGCAGAAGGTCATTGCTTAGAGCAGACGCAAACAGCTCTTTGCACTGTGCTGATGCAGTCGTCTCTCTTTGGGGAAGACTTGGAGGAGCGTCCTTGCTCTTGTTGGTATTAATCTGCATAGGCAGGAAGTTGAAGGGCTTTCGGTTTTCGCTGAGCTGGCGTTTGTTGTTAGCCGCTGTTGCTCTACCTTGAGAATCACTTCCAATACTTCTCTATACACAAAAAGGAAACCAAGTCACACAAACATTCAACTTCAAACATTTTACAAGAATCCAACATTCTTAGTTACAACATTAGATAATGAGGACATGGTTTTGTAAAAAGTTTTTTTAAAAATCTTCCGATCTACAAAATTTTACTAAATTATCAAAATTGGATTACCCTCTTATTCTACTAGACTTGGAATCTACTTTTCTGCATGTTCGGAAACCTCTTTACCTCTGCAAGATTCAGATACGACAATAAAATACTAGTAAAAAGACCAGTCAAGAGTTTATTATCATTTCTACTTGACTTTAGATCTAAACTTTATTTTGGTGATTGTTAAGTCAGTTTTATTCTAAACTTTAGATAATCAACCACATTCATATTTATTCAATAAATGCAATAAACCTAGTAGCAATTACATCCAGTTAGCAATATCTACTTTGATAATGAAGTATCTTAAGCTAGTTATTAGCATAGTAATAGCTCAGATAGAAATACCTTTGACAAATGTAAAAATACGACTTTGCCTCTCTCCAAAGACAATACTATCATCAGTATTTAAAATTCTCCCCACACATACAGAAACTTTCTTTCCAATCTTTTATTCTTAAGACATATTACTTAATCCATTTCAAGCATTTCCCATGGTATAACTTATTCTGAAAAGAGTTCACAAACCTGATCTAAATCACTGAAGTTTATCCGCTGTTTCAGTTTCTCTAATTCTGCCTGCTCTGGAACAGACATCTGAGTCATATATCTACTATGTGGAAACGTATGTGGAATCTTTGTTCTTCGTCTTCCAACTCCTGGTGATGACTCCGGAGAAATATCATTAGTTACCCTCTTATCACTTGCTACACCAAACTTTTTCTTATTCTTTTCTGATGATCTATTGGCCTTCTTCTGTTGGCCACCCCATTCCTTTAAAAAAGTAAAATCAAAAGTTAATCTGACCTATATCAAACCAAGAAAATAATTTGGTATGCTCAAAACAAAACAAAAAAACCAACAACATTGGTTTGGATATTAAAATACCATGACATTTTTCACATACAAACATCTCTTAGAGGTTTATTTCTGTCAACCCACTTTTCTCATTATTATATCTATCCTAATATTACAGCTTGGCCTTTAAAAAGTTTATTACCTTCCTATTATAGAACAGATGTTAAACTCCAAATCCCAACCTACAAATCAATTTAAATATTTTCAATAGTTTCTTTTTTGTTTGAGATAAGATCTTGTTCTAGTTTAGACTGGCTTTGAACTCATCATACAATCCAGGTTAGCCTAGAATTCCTGATTCTCCTACTTCAGTCTGTCAAGAACTATCAGACTACAGAGATGTTCAAAAGCATTTCTAAAAACTATTCTTTCTAGCCATCTGTTATGATACATATCTATGCTCTCAACACTCAGGAAGCTGAACAAAGAAGCTGGAGAGTTTAAAAGAATTCAAGGGTAGCTTAAGCTATGTTGTGAAACCTTGTCTCAAAAAGGTAAAAAATTGTTCTTTTCTAAATTAAGTAGGGAAGTAAATACATCTTTAAGTGGCCTTTAGATTACAATCAATTTGTACAGCAAAAAAAAAAAAAAAAAAAAAGATATAACTAGAATTGACCAAGGTTCTAAAGCAATTACTGTTTCCCAAAGCATCATTTAATTTCATATGGTTTCAGTTTCTTAATCTTTAAAATAGGGTACCTTAAAAATAAGAATAAAAATAATATGTATGAGTATTTAGAACAATGCCTAGCATCTGATAAGCATTAATGTAACTATTATATTTTATAGGCAAAAATCTACTACATATTATCCAATACAGAATGAAATGGTATTTTAACTAGAAAATACTTTCATTTACTCATACCTACATAATCTAATTCATTCAACAGAAATAACTATGCATTCCTGCATTATCCGCATTGGAAGACTCTTAGTTACTATCTTCATTTATAAGAAATTTTGCCTCTCTAAGAATCGTTTCTGGACCCCATTCAATGTATGGGTATTCCTGTGACCCTTTTATACTACTTAGCCCATCCTTTCAAGCCCAGATGAAAAAGAAATTTGTATATAAAGCAAATTAAGCTAATCATAACTTTAAATTGGTCAGTATCTAATTTCCTCCATGACTGACAATCTTCAAAAAGGCAGCCTCAGTATATGACACAAAGCAGAGAAAGAACTGGCAGATCTGGAAGGGAAAGCTGGGTTAGCAGAGGTTCGGAGGAGACAGGCACAGTGGTGAAAAGCAATTGTTGACAACTTCCAGTGCCTTTTTTTTTCATTTCCTAAAACTCTACTATACTCCATAAAGCATTCTTACCTCTTTATAATAAATCACCATGTTTAGGTTAAGCTAACTCATGCTTTCTATTAACCAAAACTAAAGTGACTTCAACCAATAATTAGTAGCACAGAGTCCCTTAGTCTATTTGCCTGTGTTTTTGTAGAGTTTCGGCAAAAACACCTGATGGGAAAACTACACTGGACATCAGTGGTCAACAATATACCATCTACAGAAAAAT